ACAACATCGCGCAACATCACTCAATGTCACATAATACCACGCAATATCACACAATATCATAATATCACTCAATATCACTATCACGCAGTATCACGCAATATCACTCAATATCACTCAATATCACGCCATATCAATCTCGCAACATCTCCCAGTACCCACGCGAAGTGGTGAGACTGACCGCCGTCCTTCAGAGTCTCTCTGCTCATGCGTCGTAGTCGTCGCCGTTTTTATTGGATGGGGGGGGGGGGGGCAGGGGAGTCTGCATTCGTGAGTGATCTTGTATATTTGCGTTATTGAAATTCGCGTAAGTGTGTATACGTGTGTTAGTGTGTGTACGTGTATACGTGTGTAAGTGTGTTAGTGTGTTAGTGTGTGTGTGGTGGGAAGCGGTGGTGTAGCGGTCGGCGCGCTGCGCTACAAACGTGGCGACCCGGGTACGATTCCCGCTCACGGCCAACACGAGTGACGATTATCTGAACCGATACTGGGCCTCCCCTAGGTCGACGCAGCCTCAAATTAGTACCTGGTGCGATGTGTATTGAACATCGGTACTGGGGCGACAAAGGCGGTCGGGCGTGGTGCTGGCCACCCCACCTCCACGTGTGCCATTCCGGCCTTCATAGGTGCTGCTCGCTAACCGCAATTGCCCCAAAAGTCTGTCAAGGCTATACGGGGATTCTTTGTATTTGTGTAATTGTGTGTGTGTGTGTGCGTCTGTCTGTGTTGTTGCATCTACACCTGTGTGTCTGGTCATCACAGTTTTTCCAGTACTTCATATATATATAGACAGTTTTAAATGCTTCATACATGAAGTGGGGTTTCAATTTACATCAGCCGGGTTTCTCGGCGAGTTATTTCTTGCAGCGTCGACAGACCTGGCACGGACCGAGGCAATGCCGGTGAGGGTCGCCTCGTTAACCAGTCTGGCGCGTGTGGAGGACACACAGGCGCGCGCGTGTTTATTGATGAGCTCGCAGAGACAAAGGTCCCCCGTGTGGCCTCGAAGCAAGCTCCTCGGGCAAGTGCTGCTCGCGAGCACAACTGAAGTCCGCCACGAAGCAACGGGGCTCTGCAGTGGCGGGATGTTAACTCCCTCGCCTGGTATGCGGGAGGTCGTGGGTCCGGTCCCGACCCTGACGCCTGCTCTATATTTTTGAGTTTGCGTGTCTCTCTCTCTCTCTCTCTCCCATCATCATCATAACGTAAGGGGACCGTGGCCAATTACAGGCAACGTGAGTTGAGCGTGGACAATTAGACCCAAGCCGAAACATAACATATAAAAAATAATGTTTTAAAATATATGTTTTCTATATGATAGAATATAGTATTGTCATCAGTATGACATACATTTACCAAGTTTGCAGTCGATACCACATTGGGAAGTGGGTTAAAATTGAGTTACAAGATTTGAGGATACAACAACGACAACAACAGTGAGTTAAATGAAAGCGTGTAATAATACATTTTGATTTAAAGCTTTCGTGACTGCAGGGATTCATATTCTTGGTTCTTTCGGTAAAGTCACGTAGAAGGGAAACAATAAAATAATAAAACAATATTGTTTTATAGTTTTATATTTGTATTATTTTATTGTTTCCCTTCTACGTGACTTTACCATGTAATAATAGTTTAATTTTAGTTTAATGGAGGTGCGATGTGGGCAGCACCATGCCCCAGTTGCCTTCGTCTCCCACGGTGCCGGTGAGATACACCTCCACCGGTGAGATACACCTCCACCGGTGAGATACACCACCACCGGTGAGATACACCACCACCACCGGTGAGATACACCACCACCGGTGAGATACACCACCACCGGTGAGATACACCACCACCGGTGAGATACACCACCACCACCGGTGAGATACACCTCCACCGGTGAGATACACCTCCACCGGTGAGATACACCACCACCGGTGAGATACACCACCACCACCGGTGAGATACACCTCCACCGGTGAGATACACTAACCACCGGTGAGATACACCACCACTGGTGAGATACACTAACCACCGGTGAGATACACCACCACCGGTGAGATACACCACCACCGGTGAGATACACCACCACCGGTGAGATACACCACCACCACCGGTGAGATACACCTCCACCGGTGAGATACACCACCACCACCGGTGAGATACACCTCCACCGGTGAGATACACCTCCACCGGTGAGATACACCACCACCGGTGAGATACACCACCACCACCGGTGAGATACACTAACCACCGGTGAGATACACCACCACCGGTGAGATACACCACCACCGGTGAGATTCACCACCACCGGTGAGATTCACCACCACCGGTGAGATACACTAACCACCGGTGAGATACACCACCACCGGTGAGATACACCATCACCACCACTACTGCAGCAGCAGCAGCAGCAGCAAACGCCCAGGGAGGCCCAGGACTGGTTCGGAATCCCGCTCGCCACCAATGTGAGACGTGGCCAGGAAATCCAACTTCTGTCCACACAACGGTGGTGCCCTGACCACGACGCCACCGCTCGCCACACATCACAATCAGAATGTTTATTTATGCTGCGCTGGAGGTATCCGATGAGCTATATAGTTTATTTTTCACAGATGTCCAGTCGGGGCTGGTAAGAACGTTACAGCAACAAACAGTACAAACACAATGATAGTTGTGCAGAGTACGAGAAAGATAAACAATTCACCTAAACACATACAAATACAACACTAAACCATCCCTATCCTACCAGGCAAAGCCCACTGAGGTATTCACTTATTTTTCAGAAGCGACCTGGCCACAAATGATCGCTCAACAAAGTGGCCCATCATTTGGACATTTATTGCACCGAAATAATCTAAATGGTCTCAACTTATGTTTCTAAATGTTTAGGGGAAAACCGGAGGACCACGTGCATGCTTGCATACAAAAACAAAGATCCCCCATATAGCCACAACGGACTTTTGGGGGCAAGTGCTGCTGGTGAGCACCTGTGAAGACCTGCACGGCGCGCGAGGAAATAGACTGCAAACATCACGCGCGGCCGCCTTTGTCTCCCTCGTGGCGATGATTACGTTGGATGACCTGGGGCTCGTGTCACCTGCCAGGCTAATGTAATTGGTCGAGCGGATGAGCACAAATCGTGGACGATTAGCATCGGCGACAACAACAGCCCCTTGTCGCCAGCGACGTTGCATTTCAGGACGCTCGAACTACGTCGCCGAGCAACGCTCCGAGCCGACCCACCAGATCGACCTTGTTCACGGACACCGAGAGCAAAGAGGGTCCACCATGCAGTTCGCTTTTTCAGGAACTACCGATGGTGTTTGGTGCAATGCACAGGTGGCTGAGCGATTTCGTGCGCACGTCACTGCCACGGCCTGTCAATTGCTGACGGGCTTTACCTGCGGAGTTGATTTGGTAGATGCCCACCCCACCACCCCCACAACTTTGAGAGTGGTGCAGGTCGTTGCTTGCCGCATGGCGTGTTGGCCCTTGATGGTCGTGTGCTCAAGCAACGGTGTAAAAACACGCACACCCACACGCGTGCCTGGTAGATTTAAACTCGAAACACCGGAACACACGACGGGGTACATTGGTCAAGCCGGCAAATGTACCAACCGAATGTGACCTCAACGACCTAGAGGTCAACAGTTCTCAATTTGTCTGGCATGGCGCCCGCGTCCCCTCCACGTGTCGGCCCCCACCGTCGCCCCCCACCCTCGTCCCCCACCCTCGCCCCCCACCCTCGTCCCCCACCCTCGCCCCCCACCCTCACCCCCCACCCTCGCCCCCTATCCGCGTCCCCTCCACGTTTGCGCCTCGTGGTTTATATTTTTTACTGCAGTGGAAAGAGACAGGGAGGCTTGCGGTGTCTTGTCTCCGCAACGTGGCGCAGACATTCTCCCGCGCACGTTTAGGATTTCTCCTGCGCGTTAACCTCGCCGCAGCCTCCGTCCCCTCTGCCCAAAGCCGATTACCGAGAGGCCGCTGCTTCACTGGCTAGGAACTGCGGGGGTAGACGGTCGGCAGAGGCCGCTCTCGACGCTTCCCTAGAGGGTCTGGGGAGCGGTGCCGAAATGTCCAGCATTTCAAAAAAGGGCCCAAAGTTAATAACATTGACACGCGCGCGCGGTGACACGAGGACACGCACGTGGACACGCGCGCGTGCGCGGTGACACGTGGACACGCACGTGGACACGCGCGCGCGGTGACACGTGGACACGCGCACACAGATACCCTGACACCGATTCTCCCACACGCACTGACACCGACACTCTCACACTCTATCGCGCCGCTCGCACGCTCTGGCTAAACAGTAATCGTCCCCCCCCCCCACTGCCCCCCGAGGCACGCCTCCCTCCGGCGGTGTTTTATCTGCTTAATAAGCTGTGAAGGGCGTGGAGCACACGCCGCCGCCACCACCACCACCGCCGCCACCACCGCCGCCGCCACCACCACCGCCACCACCGCCACCACCACCGCCACCACCACCATAACCATCGCCACCTCCCCCAGCAGCAGCGCTGTGTGTGTGTGTGTCTGTTTCGTCAATGTCTGTGTCCTCTTGCCCCAAACGTGTGTGCAGGCTATATGGAGGGTCTTCGTCTGTGTGTACGGTTGGGTCAGTAGGGAGCACATGTGGTGCATCTACTAGTCATCTCAGTCGGTCTACCCCCGTGGCACCTGGGTCTGTCTCGTTACCTCCCGCCAGATGCGACAGCCTTCGACAGTTCACGTGGTCTCATGGTGCACCTAGCCTGGCACAAGCGCCATGGTGATTTCACAACCGCTGTTGTTGTTGTTGAAGGATGGCACAGCGGTTTACACACTGCACTATGAAACCCAAATGTCTGAGTTGAGTTCCTGGACAAAGCGACCATCGGTGGCATTGATCGCGATGGTATTGATTGATTATGGTGTTGATAGTGATGGGAATGATGCTGGTGATGAGTGTGATGATGGTTTGTGTCGCTCTCCATCTCCCCCTCCTCCTCCTCCTCCTCTCCGCGTGTGCGCAGGTCTCGTGAAACTCGGCGTTCACTGCGTCACCACCAAAAAGGTTGCCATTAAAATCGTCAACCGGGAAAAGCTCAGCCAGTCTGTGCTCATGAAGGTCTGAATCGTCCGCTCGCTCGCTCACTCACCTGCCCATTCGCTCACTTCTTTGCCCGTTCACTCAGTCACTCACCCACCGCTCACTAACCAACTCGCCCGCTCACTTACCCGTTCACTCGCTCATCTTCTCACGCATTCACCCGCTCGCTCGCTCGCTCGCTCACACACCCATCGCTCACTCTCTGACTTTGTGTCTTTGCGGATTACTGCCGATGTGTGCTTCGGTCTGTGTGTGTGGTGGGGAGCATTGATACAGCGGTTAGGGGCCATCCATTCAGTACGTGCGCATGGAGAGGGGGTTAACCCAAATGCGTACGCTTGTGTATGGGGGGTCTACTGGCAATGTACGTATAGGAAATGGTGTGGGGGGGGGGGGGGGGTGAAGCCTCGGTAATAATTTGTCTACATTGGCCTTCAAATGAGCCACAGTTCAGTTTCTTCAGCTGTCAGACAACAAGTACTACCGGGAGAGGTGGGACTGTGGGAGAGGTGTCACTTGCGTGCCACCGTACCCCCCTGACTGCGAGCTATCATGCAGCTCAGCAAAATAAGTGGCCAAGGTACGCAACTGAATTATTTAATGCAGCCGGCGGTGGACTATCCGTTTGCTTAAACACGTTAATATTATTAATCCTTGATCGTTTCTGCGTAGATTGATAATATCGGCGGTTCTATAGGATTCGGGGGGGGCATCAAGCGTACGTACGCAGGTTGGGGGGGGGGGGGGGGGGGCGGGGGGGGGGGCGGGGGGGTGTAAAAAGTCCGCGTGCGTACAGGGAGGATGGTCCCTTAGCACGCTGCGCTACGAACCCGGCGACCCGAGTTCAATTCCCGCTCACGGCCAACACTGGTGGTGATTATCTGAACCAGTCCTGGGTCTCCCCTAGGTCGACTCAGCCTCAAATGAGTACCTGGTGCGGTGTGTAAACATCGCCACTGGGGAGACTAAGGATGCTGGGAGTGGTTGCTGGCCACCCACCTTCTCGTGCGCCGTACCGGCCTTCATAGGCGCTCCCTAACAGCACTTGCCCCTACAGTCTGTTAAGGCTCCACGGGGGATCTTTGTCTTTGTTTTGTGCGTTTGTAGGTGGAGCGAGAGATTGCGATCCTGAAACTGATCGAGCATCCACACATCCTCAAGTTACACGATGTCTATGAAAACAAGAAGAACCTGTGAGTCCACCACCATCGCCACCACCATCACCAAAGGCCCCTTATAGCCTTAGCAGACTGTAGCGGCAAGTGCTGTTAGCGAGCACCTATGAAGACCGGAACCGTCCACGAGGGGGTGGGTGTGGCCAGCACCACGCCCGACCGCCTTTGTCTCCCCAGTGGCGATGTTTACACACCGCACCAGGTACTCCAGGACCGGATCAGATAATCGTCATTGGTGTTGGCGGTGAGCGGGAATCGAACTCGGGTCGCCGGGCTCGTAGTGCAGCGCGCTAACCGCTACACTATCACCATTACCACTACCATCACCACCATTAACAACAAAGGCGGTTGTCGTCACCGTGATGCTTGTGCCAGGCCATGTGCACGTTAAGGTCACGTGAAGTGTCGAACGCCCGCTGGAAGGAGGTCACGGGACAGTCCCAGCAGGTTCCATGGGTCGACTGACTGAGATGACTGGCCGATACACCACCTGTACCCCCTACTGTGCCAACCTGCTGTGTTTTAGCCGCCCGGCACTCCGCTCATTGTTGTTGAGCGTCGCTCCTCCGCCCTCCGTTGTTGTTGGAGGGCGACTGCCTCCAACTGCCCAGTAGCGTCCTTCACGAGCCTCCTCCACAGAGGCCGATCTTGATACACTGCTGGTACCAGTCATTGGCAAGTCCACTCAGCTCTACATCCACCCGTACCGCATCAGTCCATCTCTTCTCCAGCCCGTGTCGTGCCCATTTAGCCCGGTCTATGCGACCAAACAGAAATATGCGGTGGCTGGGCATGCAGGCTACATGACCCAGCCAACGCAGCCTTGCCTGCCGGAGGAGTTCACACATGTGAATCTGTCCAGATCTTTCAAGGATTTGTGAGCTCCTCACACAATCCAACCTGGCTAAACCCAGGATGGATCGTAGGCAGGCCAGCCTGAATGTTTCTAACCAGCCCAGATGTTCCGTAAGAGGGGTCCACCACTATAACCACCACCATGACCACCATTATTATTATTATCACCACCATCAACATCACCATCATCCACATCAACTGGCACACAGAGACACAGCGGCGCAGAGACACAGTGACACGGAGACACAGTGACATAGTGACACAGCGACACAGAGACACAGTGACACAGTGACATGGAGACACAGTGACATGGAGACACAGTGACACAGTTACATGGAGACACGGAGACACGGCGACACAGAGGCACAGCGACACAGAGACACAGCGACATAGAGACACAGAGACACAGTGACACGGAGACACGGAGACACGGAGACACGGAGACACGGCGACACAGAGCCACAGCGACACAGAGACACAGCGACATAGAGACACAGAGACACAGTGACACGGAGACACGGAGACACGGAGACACGGAGACACAGAGACACAGAGACACAGAGACACAGAGACACAGAGACACAGAGACACAGAGACACAGAGACACAGAGACACAGAGACACAGAGACACAGAGACACAGAGACACAGAGACACAGAGACACAGAGACACAGAGACACAGAGACACAGAGACACAGAGACACAGAGACACAGAGACACAGAGACACAGCCACACAGCCACACAGCCACACAGCCACACAGCCACACAGCCACACAGCGACACAGAGACACAGAGACACAGTCACACAGTCACACAGCGACACAGCGACACAGCGACACAGCGACACAGTCACACAGTCACACAGAGACACAGTGCGGTTGGGCGAGGTGTTGGGCACGTCCGGCAGGCGTGCGTGGACGGGTAGGCAGCGACCAAACGCCCTCGTCGAGAGCTTGCTCTGAGCGGTGGGCTGAGCGGTGGGCTGAGCGGTGGGCTGAGCGAGCAGTTGCAGGGGCTGCGCCTTGGCCGTGACGGACGGCCACCGGCTCTCCTCGGGGGGTGGTGGGGGGGGAGCGCGTCATCCAGCAGTGGATAGACCACGTGCTGGTGCGCCCACCTCTGCCCCAGGTACCTGGTGCTGGAGCACGTCTCTGGGGGCGAGCTCTTTGACTACCTCGTGAAGAAGGGACGGCTCACGCCCAAAGAGGCGCGAAAGTTTTTCCGGCAAATCATCTCCGCCCTCGACTTCTGCCACAGTCACTCCATCTGGTGAGCACACACGCACGTGTTCGCGTACACGCACGTGTACGCACACACGTGTACACACGCATACACACACGTGTGCAGACACGCGCACGCACACACGCACGTGTACACAACACACGTACGTGTACACATACGCACGTGTACACACACGCACGTATACGCACACGCACGTGTACGCACACACACGTGTACGCACACGCGTGTACGCACACACGTGTACGCACACGCGTGTACACACGTGTACACATGCGCACACACACACGCACGTGTACACAGACGCACGTGTACGCACACGCACGCGCACATGCACACACGCACATGCACACACACAAACACACGTAGACACGTATGCACACACACACGCACGTGCACACGACTGTGTGTGCGTGTCTGTGTTGGGAGCGATGGCAGCGGTTAGCTCACTGCGGCGACCCGAGTTCGATTCCCGCTGACAGCCACAATATCGGTGGTGAATATCTGACACTGGTCCTGGACGTCCCCTAGGTCGACTCAGCCTTAAGTGTACACCTTCTCCCGGTGGGTAAAATACATCACCATTGGGGAAACAAAGGCGGCCGGGCATGGTGCTAATCGCACCACCTCCTCGTGTAGCGCGTTGACCTTAACAAGGTGTTCACGGACAGCACTTGCTCCACGCTGCTTGCGTGGAGCTCCACGCAGGCAGCGTGGAGCTCCACGCAGGCAGCGTGGGCTGTATGCGGGATTTTTCGCTTTGTAGCTATTAAGAGTCCACACATCACGCCCCAGGCTGTTGCGTTGTGTAAATGATGATGAGTTGTTGTTGTTGTTGTTGTTCCGGAGCGTGACGCTCGTGTTTACGCCCCAGAGGAGATTGCCGAGTCAATGGCATTTAAATTACCTGCACCAACCTCCTCCTCCACCACCAGCCCACCCCCTACACCAACCTCGTCCTCCACCACCAGCCCACCTCATACACCAACCTCCTCCACCACCACCAGCCCACCTCATACACCAACCTCGTCCTGTACCACCAGCCCACCCCTACACCAACCTCGTCTTCCTCCACCAGCCCACCCCTACACCAACCTCCTCCTCCACCACCAGCCCACCCCCTACACCAACCTCCTCCACCACCAGCCCACCCCCTACACCAACCTCATCCTCCACCACCAGCCCACCCCTACACCAACCTCCTCCTCCACCACCAGCCCACCCCCTACACCAACCTCCTCCTCCACCACCAGCCCACCCCCTACACCAACCTCCTCCTCCACCACCAGCCCACCCCCTACACCAACCTCCTCCTCCACCACCAGCCCACCCCCTACACCAACTTCCTCCTCCACCACCAGCCCACCCCTACACCAACCTCCTCCTCCATCACCAGCCCACCCCTACACCAACTTCCTCCTCCACCACCAGCCCACCCCCTACACCAACTTCCTCCTCCACCACCAGCCCACCCTCACGACGCACCTCAAACATGTGCCCGTTGTCAATCATCATCAGCAGCAGCCGTGAGGGGAGTGGGTGGGGTGGGGGGGGGGTGATTGACACCACGAGGGAGCAGCAGCAGCAGGTGGGGGGGAGGGCGTTCGGTGGCACGGGACCTCGCCGCGCCGGGGCCCCCGGTTATCACCGTGGCAGACAGCGTCCCCCACGCAGGGTCCGCTCGGCACGACAAGCCCGGCAGTGGTGCCCGGGCCCACGAGCGGCCCACGGCGGTGCAGGCGACTCTCAACGGCGGTATCGCAATGCGTCGTCCCCCGTCGCGGCGATAATAACGGCGCACCTTGCGATCGGGAGAGCGCGGCGCGGGCCGCGTGCGGTGACGTGTGCGGTGACGTGTGCGGTGACGCGTGCGGTGACGCGTGCGGTGACGCGTGCGGTGACGCGTGCGGTGACGCGTGCGGTGACGCGTGCGGTGACGCGTGCGGTGACGTGTGCGGTGACGCGTGCGGTGACGTGTGCGGTGACGCGTGCGCGCGGTCGCTGCCGTCGCCAGCCACCGCGACCTGAAGCCGGAGAACCTCCTGCTGGACGAGAAGAACAACATCCGCATCGCCGACTTCGGCATGGCCTCGCTGCAGGTCGGAGACAGCCTGCTGGAGACGAGCTGTGGGTGAGCGTCGCCGCCACCGCCGCCACCACCGCCACCACCACCGATACTGCCAATGCCACGACCACCAACCACGACCACCACCAACTACGACAACCACGACAACCACCACTACCACCACGACCACCACAACCACCACCACCACCACAACCAAAGTAAAAGATCGTCCGTATCGCAAGTGCTGTTCGCGACCACTTATGAAGGCCGGCACGGCACACCATTGGGTAGGTGGCCAGCACCACGCCCGGCCGCCTTTGTCTCCCCTAGTGGCAATGTTTACACACTGCACAGGTACTCATTTGAGGCCGAGTCGACCTAGCGAAGGCCCAGGGCGAGTTCAAATATTTCGTCACTGTGGTGTTGGCCGTGAGCGAGAACCGAAACTCGGGTCGCCGGGTTCGTAGTGCGGCGCGCTAACCACTACGTCACCGCTCCCCACGGCGTGAGCGAGTGACTCAGCCTCGGCCTGGCTCAAGTTAAGCCATGGCTCGCTCGCTTGAGCCAGAGAGCCACGTGCCCCGTGTACGTGTGACCATGTGACCGTGTGGGTGTGTGTGTGGGTGCTGTGCTATCTGTGCCGTGTGTCCAGGTCTCCTCACTATGCCTGCCCAGAAGTTATTCGGGTGAGAGTCGCACAGACACACACACACACAAAGACCCCCCCGTGTAGCCTTAGCAGACTGTTGGGGCAAGTGCTGTTAGCGAGCACCTATGAAGGCCGGCACGGCACACGAGGGGGTGGGTGGCCAACACCACGCCCGGCCGCCTTTGTCTCCCCAGTGACGATGTTTACACACTGCTACACCAGGTACTCATTTGAGGCTGAGTCGATTTAGGGGAGGCCCAGGACCGGTTCAGATAATCGTCACTTGGTGTTGGCCGTGAGCGGGAATCGAACTCGGGCTGCCAGGTTCGTAGCGCAGCGCGCTGCCGCTCCCCACGCACGCACCCACCCGCTCGCTCACTCGCTCGCACGCAAACACCGCACAAAGACAAAGACCCCCCGTATAGCCTCTAATAGACTGTTGAGGTTCCAGGGTAAGACGCACGAAGGCCGGACACAGCACACGAGGGGCTCGGTGGCCAGCAGCCACGCCCGGCCCACGGAAAATGCAACGCAAATGTCAGTTGGCTTGCAGAACGCCATTGTGTTGTTTACTGATACAGCACGGGGGGGGGGGGGGGGGGGGGGGGGGGGTGGGTGAAGATGACGACGACATTGTCGGTTCACCTGTCGACGTGTTTACCGCGTCGCCGACCCTCGACGAGTGAGGAGCAGCCAACGATGAGATGAGCCCACCCTGTCAATATATTTGTATTGAATCCGCAAGCACGGTTACTCCAGCAGCCCGGACAGTCGAGACTTTTGCCGTTGACATTTGCGGCTGCCGTTTTATATTTTCAGGGGGAGAAGTACGACGGGAGGAAGGCGGACGTGTGGAGCTGCGGGGTCATCCTGTTCGCGCTGCTCGTGGTGAGGGAGCGGCCATCGCCACGGTCGCCGCGACGACGACGACGACGATGACGCCGCCGCCGCCGCCGCCGTCGCCCCCCGGCCGTGCCTCCGTGACGATCGCGATGATCGCCGAGGACGACGGCATCGACGGAAACGTTAGACGATGACGTTGACGGTGTCGCCCCGCTCCCCCCCCCGCAGGGCGCCCTGCCGTTCGACGACGACAACCTGCGCCAGCTGCTGGAGAAGGTGAAGCGCGGCGTGTTCCACATGCCGCACTTCATCCCCCCCGACTGCCAGGCGCTGCTGCGCGGGATGATCGACGTGGACGCCACCCGGCGCATCACGGTAGCCGCCCCCCTACGCATCCCCACCCCCCTCCCTCCCCCATGCCCCCCCGCCCCACCCCACACCCTCACCCACCTCCAACTCCCCGCACGAGAGCTTGGGGGAGGGGTAGGCGGCCTTTATCCAGCAGTGGATAAGATCATGGCTCTTGATGATGATGATGATCGTGACGATGACTGTGGTTTAACGAGTCCGGTTCTTTCTGTTGTGTCGCAGCTGGAACAGATACAGAAGCACACGTGGTTCCTCGCGTGAGTGACGCACGCACGCACACACACACACACACGCATGCACGCGAGCACACGCACACGCATGCACGCGAGCACACACACACGCATGCACGCGAGCACACGCACACGCATGTATGCATGCACGCGAGCGCAGTGATTGCGGATGATGGGAGACAGGCCGTGGCGTTGCCGGCGTCACGGCCCAAATGGTTCCTCGATCGGGACACGGGGACTTGGCAGGACCCTCCTAAAAAAAAAAGAGTCGTGATGCTCGGCGAGTAAAACATCACCACCGTCAGCAGCAGCAGCAGCATCTACACCGTCAACATCGTCACCCTCATCGTTCCCACGATTATCAGGAGCATCATCATCACCAATGCCATCATCATCATCATCATCAAAACTACCTACATTGTCATCACCATCATTAAAGCAATTTGTATTTTATTTTACCAGGTAAGGCCCACTGAGCTATGTAGCTCGTTTCCTTAAGCGACGTGGCCACGAATGATAGCTTAATGAAGTGACTCATCATCACGTGGAAATGTATAGCAGCCAAATACTCTACAAGTGTGATGTTGATGATAAATGTGGAGGGGAAAACCGGAGGACCCGGAGAAAAATACACGCAACCATGGAGAGAGAGAGACGCAATCTCCAAATATACAGCAGCAGGCGTCAGGGTCGGGATCGAACCCACGATCTCCTGCATACCAGGTGAGGTAGTTAACATCTCCTAGCCACCGTGGTGATGATGATGAGAGAGAGAGACACGCAAACTCCAAATATACAGCAGCATGCGTCAGGGTTCGGGATCTAACCCGTGACTTCCTGCATACCAGGCGAGGTAGTTAACATATCCTAGCCACCGTGGTGATGATGAGAGAGAGAGAGACACGCAAACTCCAAATATACAGCAGTAGGCGTCAGGGTTCGGGATCGAACCCGCGACCTCCTAGCCACCGTGTTATATACTGCACTCAAAGTTGAAACGGCACTTGTGCAATGGGGCAAAGACGAGCGGTGAGGCTGTCTAGGGTAACATATCAAACACAAATACAATTTGCTGTCCTCAATCCGGGCAACTGCGTCAATCAACCAGTTCCAGATGAGTGGTCGCAACGACTCAATTGCAGAACAAAACGGTCTCACTGCTCCACCTAACCATCAGCCACCTCCTAAAACGCTTCGTTGTTTGAAATGAAGAGGGCATTCGCTTTAGCTTGCGTACGTACAATGTTGAGCTTCTTTTGCACCATACGTCGCCAACCGTTCTAATCGGAGGTGCGGATGGAAGGGCAAACGAACTGAACGCAAAAAAGCAGTTCTAAAAGAGATTAGTTTTAAATCTACAGTGAGGGAAAAAGTATTTGATCCCCTGCTGATTTTGTACATTTGCCCACTGACAAAGAAATGATCAGTCTATAATTTTAATGGTAGGTTTATTTGAACAGTGAGAGACAGAATAACAACAACAAAATCCAGAAAAACGCATGTCAAAAATGTTATAAATTGATTTGCATTTTAATGAGGGAAGTAAGTATTTGACCCCCTCTCAATCAGAACGATTTCTGGCTCCCAGGTGTCTTTTATACAGGTAACGAGCTGAGATTAGAAGTACACTCTTAAAGGGAGTGCTCCTAATCTCAGCTTGTTACCTGTATAAAAGGCACCTGTCCACAGAAGCAATCAATCAATAAGATTCCAAACTCTCCACCATGGCCAAGACCAAAGAGCTCTCCAAGGATTCAGGGACAAGATTGTAGACCTAGACAAGGCTGGAATGGGCTACAAGACCATTGCCAAGCAGCTTGGTGAGAAGGTGACAACAGTTGGTGCGATTATTCGCAAATGGAATAAACACAATTACTGTCAATCTCCCTCGGCCTGGGGCTCCATGCAAGATCTCACCTTGTGGAGTTGCAATGATCATGAGAACGGTGAGTAATCAGCCCAGAACTACACGGGAGGATCTTGTCAATGATCTCAAGGCAACTGGGACCATAGTCTCCAAGAAAACAATTGGTAACACACTACGCCGTGAAGGACTGAAATCCTGCAGCGCCCGCAAGGTGCCCCTGCTCAAGAAAGCACATATACATGCCCGTCTGAAGTTTGCCAATGAACATCTGAATGATTCAGAGGACAAATGGGTGAAAGTGTTGTGGTCAGATGAGACCAAAATGGAGCTCTTTGGCATCAACTCAACTCGCCGTGTTTGGAGGAGGAGGAATGCTGCCTATGACCCCAAGAACACCATCCCCACCGTCAAACATGGAGGTGGAAACATTATGCTTTGGGGGTGTTTTTCTGCTAAGGGGACAGGACAACTTCACCGCATCAAAGGGACGATGGACGGGGCCATGTACCGTCAATTCTTGGGTGAGAACCTCCTTCCCTCAGCCAGGGTATTGAAAATGGGTCGTGGATGGGTATTCCAGCATGAGAATGACCCAAAACACATGGCCAAGGCAACAAAGGAGTGGCTCAAGAAGAAGCACATTAAGGTCCTGGAGTGGCCTAGCCAGTCTCCAGACCTTAATCCCATAGAAAATCTGTGGAAGAAACTGAAGGTTCGAGTTGCCAAACGTCAGCCTCGAAACCTTAATGACTTGGAGAAGATCTGCAAAGAGGAGTGGGACAAAATCCCTCCTGAGATGTGTGCAAACCTGGTGGCCAACTACAAGAAACGTCTGACCTCTGTGATTGCCAACAAGGGTTTTGCCACCAAGTACTAAGTCATGTTTTGCAGAGGGGTCAAATACTTATTTCCCTCATTAAAATGCAAATCAATTCATAACATTTTTGACATGCGTTTTTTGGATTGTTGTTGTTGTTATTCTGTCTTTCACTGTTCAAATAAACCTTCCATTAAAATGATAGACTGATCATTTCTTTGTCAGTGGGCAAACGTACAAAATCAGCAGGGGATCAAATACTTTGTTTTTCCCTCACTGTAGACGATTTAAAAGTTTCATAGCTCCCATTGGATATTTTTTCAGGAGGGTCCTGCCACGGTGTGATCCCCTAGTGCCGTGGTTCTTCACCTTTATTGCAGCCTTGCACCCCCTTTAGTTCCCAGTCATAATTTTTTTTTTATGATGTTAATAAATACATGGGGTTTGCTGAAACAAAGTAGTTGCACTGATCGGCCCGTGCTTGATTTGTGTTTGCGATGATTTACCTTCTAAAAAAAAAAATTTGGACGCGTCTCGCGACCGCCCCCCCCTCCCCCCGCCCCCCCGAAAAGGCATCTCGCACCCCCAGAGAGTGCGTGCACCCCAGGTTAAGAACCGCTGGTGTAGTGTATAGTAGTGTGTATAGTGTAGTGTAGAGTAGTGTGCAGTGTATAGTGTAGTGTATAGTAGTGTGTATAGTGTAGTGTATAGTAGTGTGCATAGTGTAGTGTGTAGTGTATAGTGTAGTGTATAGTGTAGTGTAGTGTGTAGTGTAGTGTAGTGTGTAGTGTGCAGTGTAGTGTGCAGTGTAATGTGCAGTGTAGTGTGCAGTGTAGTGTGCAGTGTATAGTGTAGTGTAGAGTGTAGTGTAGAGTGTAGTGTAGAGTGTAGTGTAGTGTGCAGTGTATAGTGTAGTGTAGAGTGTAGTGTAGAGTAGTGTATAGTGTAGTATAGTGCAGTGGTTCTTAACCTTTACTGCAGCTTCGCACCCCTTTAGTTCCCAGTCATACATTATTTCACTATCATATTAATAAATACGCAGGGTTTGATGAAATAAAGTAGTTGCACTTTCGATGATTTACCTGCTAAAAAAAAAAACCAAACATCTCGCGAGATGCACCCCCAGGTTAGGAACCACTGCCCTCGTGGAATAAACCGCGGTGGAATGGAATGATTTAAAAAAACAAACGTAAAGGGGTTAACGCGACGCCGGCACTGACCCCCTCGCGAATGACGTCGCCTGCAACGGTCGTCAATCCTCAACCGCCGCCGTCGCTTCCCACCGTCGTCGTGTTGCCGGCGCTCGCGGCAGCGGGTCGCGGAGCGAGCCTGAGCCCGAGCAGGCGGCCCCGCGCAAGGTGCCGGTGGGCGCGCTGCCCAGCGCCGAGGAGATGGACCCGGACGTGCTGGAGAGCATGAACTCCCTGGGATGCTTCCAGGACAAGGACAAGCTCGTGTCGGATCTCCTCGCCCAGCAGTGAGTCGCCCCGGGGTCTCGCACTTACGGGGAGGGGATGGGGGTCATGGTGAGATTCATGGCGATCGCAGTCAGGGTTGTGAGGGTCACGGTCAGGTTCACGGGGTGACGGTCAGCGCTGTTGGGTTCACAACCAGGGTCCTGGTCAGGGCTTCAGGGATCACTGCCACGGGAGTCACGCGGTCGTGTCACTGGAGTTGACACGCACACCAAAGGGACAGCCCTGATTGGCTGAGACTTGCCGCGACCGCGGGGGGAGAGCCATGACGACGGTGCTCACGGTTGCCCCCCCGAGTACGCGTAAGCGAGGGGAAAGCTCTGACATCACAATGGGGCTCTCTGACATCAAAATGGGGCGCTCTGACATCACAATGGGGCTCTCTGACATCACAATGGGGCGCTATGTCATCACAATGGGGCGCTATGACATCACAATGGGGCTCTCTGACATCACAATGGGGCGCTCTGACATCACAATGGGGTGCTCTGACATCACAATGGGGCGCTCTGACATCACAATGGGGCTCTCTGACATCACAATGGGGCACTCTGGCATCACAATGGGGTGCTCTGACATCACAAGGGGGCGCTCTGGCATCACAATGGGGCGCTCTGACATCACAATGGGGCTCTCTGACATCACAATGGGGCGCTCTGACATCGCAATGGGGCACTCTGACATCACAATGGGGCGCTCTGACATCACAATGGGGCGCTCTGACATCACAATGGGGCGCTCTGATATCACAATGGGGCGCTCTGACATCACAATGGGGCTCTCTGACATCGCAATGGGGCGCTCTGACATCACAATGGGGCTTTCTGACATCACAATGGGGCGCTCTGACATCGCAATGGGGTGCTCTGACATCGCAATGGGGCTCTCTGACATCACAATGGGGCGCTCTGACATCACAATGGGGCGCTCTGACATCACAATGGGGCTCTCTGACATCACAATGAGGCTCTCTGACATCACAATGGGGCTCTCTGACATCACAATGGGGCTGTCTGACATCACAATGGGGCTCTCTGACATCACAATGGGGCGCTCTGACATCACAATGGGGCTCTCTGACATCACATTGGGGCTCTCTGACATCACAATGGGGCTGTCCGACATCACAATGGGGCTCTCTGACATCACAATGGGGCTCTCCGACAGCGGCGGCATCGTCACGCCCCGGGAACATCGAGCGAGCGCCTATGGCCGGGCGACAGGCGCCATGACGGCGGCGCGCCTCTGAACCGTAGCTCGAGCGCTTGTTCAGTTTTACCGAGAGTGGGTGGCGGCGGCGGCGGCGGCAGCGGCGGGGGGGGGGGGTGGTTGTTGAACCGGCGTCGGCCGCGTTCTGCGGTTTGCCGCCCGCGAGCCGCGTGCGGTGCAGCGGCGGACGGGGGGGCGACTGTGCCACCTGTCGCCCGGCAGGGAGAACCAGGAGAAGATGATCTACTTCCTGCTGCTCGACCGCAAGGAGCGCTACCCCAGCTACGAAGACGAGAACCTCCCCCCACGCAACGACATCGGTACGCACGCACGCACACATACACGCACACGCACGCACGCACACACGCACGCACACACACATGCACGCACGCATGCACGCACACGCACACACGCGAAGGCAGAAGCAGAAAGAGAAGTGAGGTGACATGCAGTGTGGTGAGTGGGTGAGAGTGTGGGTGGGTGGGGTGGGTGGGTGAGAGGGTGAGTGACTGGTTGAGAGAGTGGGTGAGCGGGCGGGTGGGTGGGTGGGTGACGGGGTGAGTGAGAGACGGGGTGAGAGACTGGGTGAGCGGGCGGGTGGGTGGGTGACGGGGTTAGTGAGTGTTGTTGTGACCTGCGGCGGTGTGGTGGTTGAGCGCCGTGTGGAGGAAACCAGACGGTCAGTCTGGTCACCTGGCCTCCTCCACACGGGTGGACGAATCGGTGAGTGCTTGTTTGGGGCGGGGGGCTGCAGACCCCCCCCGTAAGCGCGTGGACTCTCCCATGCTGAGCCGGCACGGCAAGCAGAGGCCGGAGAGGAAGTCCATGGAGGTGCTGAGCGCGGGGGAGGGCGGCTCGCCCAGCACCGTGCGCAGAGCCCTGCACGCTGCCCCCCACGGGCAGAGGTGAGGGCACGCACCACACACACGCACCACACATGCACCACACACGCACCACACATGCACCACACACGCACCACACACACACCACACACACACCACACACACATGCACCACACACACGCACCACACACACGCACCACACATGCACCACACATGCACCACACACACACCACACACACACCACACACACACGCACCACACACACGCACCACACACGCACCACACACACACCACACACACACCACACACCACACGCACCACACACACACCACACACACACACACCACACACGCACCACACATACACCACACACACGCACCACACATGCCACACACGTGCACCACACACACCACACACACGCACCACACACACACCACACACACGCACCACACATGCACCACACACGTGCACCACACATGCCACACAGATGCATCACACATGCACCACACACACGCACCACACATGCCACACACGTGCACCACACACGCACCACACATGCGACACAAGCACCACACGCACCACACATGCGACACTCCACACATGCACCATACACGCACCACACACGCACCACACACGCACCACATACGCACTACGCACCACGCACCGCACGCGCCACACACATCACGAACGCCACACGTACCACACACGCATCACATACACCACACCACTCCAATGGGCAGAGGATGCCGATGTTGCAGCGATTATGATATCGCTGGTGATGCTGGCGGCGATGGCAATTATGGCAATGGTGGTGGTGATGATGATGGTGGTGGCGATGGTCGTGCTGGCGATGGTGGTGATGGCGATGGTGGTGGTAATGATGATGATGGTGGTGATGGTGGTAGCCGTGGCGGTGGTGGCGATGGCGGTGATGACGATGATGGTGGTGGTGATGGTGGCGGTGATGACGATGATGGTGGCGGTGGTGGCGATGGCGGTGATGACAATGATGGTGGTGGTGGTGATAGCGGTGATGACGATGATGGTGGTGGTGGTGATGGCGATGATGGCGATGGTGGTAGCCGTGGTGGTGGTGGCGCTGGTGGCGATGATGGTGGTGATGGTGATGGTGGTAGCCATGGCGGTGGTGGCGCTGGTGGCGATGATGGTGGTGATGGTGATGGTGGTAGCCGTGGCGCTGGTGGCAATGATGGTGGTGGTGGTGATGGCGGTGATGGCGGTGGTGGCACTGGTGGCGATGATGGTGGTGGTGGTGATGGTGATGGTGGTAGCCGTGGCGGTGGTGGCGCTGGTGGCGATGATGGTGGTGGTAGTTATGGCGGTGATGGCGGTGGTGGCGCTGGTGGCGATTGTCTCCGTTGGTGTTGCCCTGTGGCCCAGGTCCCGCTCTGTGAGTGGAGCCTCCTCCGGCCTCTCGTCGAGTCCACTCAACAGTCCCCGGGTGAGCCGCTCGCTGCGCCGCCAGCGCGCCGACACCGACACCGACGCACACAGTCGCTCGCTCCGGACGGACGGCGACGATCTCCCGGCGCGCCAGACGAAGCAGCGGAGAAGGAGATAGCGATGTAGTGAGGTGGGAGAGAAGATTTAGAGTGGAGATGGAGATGTAGTGAGGTGGGAGAGAAGATTTAGAGTGGAGATGTAATGAGGTGGGAGAGAAGATTTAGACTGGAGATGGAGATGTAGTGAGGTGGGAGTGAAGGGGTCTAGACGAGAGATGGAGATGTGGTGAGGTGGGAGAGAAGATTTAGACTGGAGATGTAATGAGGTGGGAGAGAAGATTTAGACTGGAGATGTAATGAGGTGGGAGAGAAGATTTAGAGTGGAGATGTAATGAGGTGGGAGAGAAGATTTATAGTGGAGATGTAATGAGGTGGGAGAGAAGATTTAGAGTGGAGATGTAGTGAGGTGGGAGAGAAGATTTAGAGTGGAGATGGAGATGTAGTGAGGTGGGAGAGAAGATTTAGAGTGGAGATGTAATGAGGTGGGAGAGAAGATTTAGACTGGAGATGGAGATGTAGTGAGGTGGGAGTGAAGGGGACTAGACGAGAGATGGAGATGTGGTGAGGTGGGAGAGAAGATTTAGACTGGAGATGTAATGAGGTGGGAGAGAAGATTTAGACTGGAGATGTAATGAGGTGGGAGAGAAGATTTAGAGTGGAGATGTAATGAGGTGGGAGAGAAGATTTATAGTGGAGATGTAATGAGGTGGGAGAGAAGATTTAGAGTGGAGATGTAGTGAGGTGGGAGAGAAGATTTAGACTGGAGATGTAATGAGGTGGGAGAGAAGATTTAGAGTGGAGATGTAATGAGGTGGGAGAGAAGATTTAGACTGGAGATGGAGATGTAGTGAGGTGGGAGTGATGGGGTCTAGACGATAGATGGAGATGTAGTGAGGTGGGAGTGAAGGGGTCTAGACGATAGATGGAGATGTGGTGAGGTGGGAGTGAAGATTTAGAGTGGAGATGGAGATGTAGGGAGGTGGGAGTGAAGGGGTCTAGACGAGAGATGGAGATGTGGTGAGGTGGGAGTGAAGATTTAGAGTGGAGATGGAGATGTAGGGAGGTGGGAGTGAAGGGGTCTAGACGAGAGATGGAGATGTGGTGAGGTGGGAGTGAAGATTTAGACTGGACATGGAGATGTAGGGAGGTGGGAGTGAAGGGGTCTAGACGAGAGATGGAGATGTGGTGAGGTGGGAGAGAAGATTTAGACTGGAGATAGAGATGTAGTGAGGTGGGAGAGAAGATTTAGACTGGAGATGTGGTGAGGTGGGAGAGAAGATTTAGACTGGAGATGTGGTGAGGTGGGAGAGAATATTTAGACTGGAGATGGAGATGTGGCGAGGTGAGAGAGAAGATTTAGACTGGAGATGGAGATGTAGTGATGTGTGAGTGAAGGGGTCTAGACGAGAGATGGAGTGAGGTGAGAGAAGGGAAATACAGGGATGAGAGGGACGGATTGGCTTACTGAGTTTGAGGATTTAAATTCGACCTGGTATACTATTGACCCATATTATTGTTCTCATGAAGCCGTGGTTCATGAGCTGCTTGGAGTTCCTGAGCTTTTACTCGGCGTCCTCACGCCCTGTGCCACCACTGGCTTGCGATGTCCTCGCCCAAGCGATCGAAAAAAACATTCATCCTGAATCTAGCGTTGTTGCTCAACTCGAATATAGTGTTAGGGGTTAGGGTCAGTGCTAGATTCGGGGCTTAGCATCAGGGTTAGGTTAAGTGTTAGGCTTGGGGTTTAGCATCAGGGTTAGGGTTAGACCCGGGGTTTGGCGTTCGCGCGACAGTAATCCTCCTCCGCCATCACCCTCCTGGCGTTGCATGAACTCGCACGGCCACGACTTCACAACAACTCCACAACTTCACCTCTTCTTCACCGCTTTCACGTCGTCGGTGACGTCCCACGCACGCGGTGCGGCGAGGTCACGTGACACGCGAGGCACGACGCCTGGAGGACCGATGCAGCGCCTGTCACCGCCCAGGCGTGGCCGTCACAATGATTGCTGTGCCTGCATGACGCAAATATTTCCACCTGGTTTTCGTTTGCCGCTTGTTTGATTTAATTTTTTTCTTGCCCCCACCTCTTTGCGTTCGCTAACACTTTTTTTTCGTTTCTGTTCCATTTCTCTGACTCCTGTGTCTGTTTCCTCTCCGTGACCTCTCCACGACCTCTCCTTGCCCTCTCCGTAACCTCTCCGTAACCTCTCCACACCCATCTGCGACCTCTGTGACTTCTCCGTGCCCTCTCCACGACTTCTCCGTGACCTTTCCGTGACCTTTCTGTGACCTCCCTGCTCTCTCCGTGCCCTCTCCGTGACCTCTCCATGACCTCTCGTCCCCTCTCCGTGCCCTCTCCACGCCCTCTCCGTGACCTCTCCACGCCCTCCGTGCCCTCTCTTTCTTTCCGTGCCCTCTCCGCAACCTCTCCGCGACCTCTCCGTGCCCTCTCCGCGACCCCTCCACGACCTCTCCGTGCCCTCCATGCCCTTTCCCCTCTCCGTGCCCTCTCCACGACCTTTCCACGACCTTTCCGTGACCTCTCGTCCCCTCTCCGTGACCTCTCCACCCCCTCTCCGTGGCCTCTCGATGTATTCTGTCTCTGCTGCCTGTCAAAAATCACGCACGCTCGCACGCACACCTCACCACTCTCCGTCCGAACACCGCCGTCAACGGTTTGAACATTGTGACCGTCTGTACGATCATAACGTTACGTTCTTATTATTATCATTATTATTATTACTTTATATTTCATTGTATTTTAAATTTTCATTTACGTTTCGACTTTTTTGCTCCATGCATTGCGTTCGTTCACCATGTGGGTAAAATCTGCAACGTACACGCGAGTCCATTACGCCTGTGTTGGTGTACGGTGTCGCTCAGTGCATTGTATGTTCAACGTGCGTGTGTGCATCCATGTGTGTGTATACGCCTGTGTGTGTGCATATATGTGCCTGTGTGTGTGTGCGTATACGGCTGTGTGTGTGCATATATGTGCCTGTGTGTGTGTGTGCGTATACGTGCGTGTGTGCGTATACGTGCGTATACGTGCGTGTGTGCGTATACGTGCGTATACGTGCGTGTGTGCGTATACGTGCGTATACGTGCGTGTGTGCGTATACGTGCGTATACGTGCGTGTGTGCGTATACGTGCGTGTGTGCGTACCTGTGTGTTTAACTTCTCATCCGCCAAGCCCGGCCGCAAATTTTCTACACCGCCGTGCTTGGCGCACCACTATGGCCACCACCTCTTGCCCTCTGACCCCCCGGCGACCCCACGCCTCGACCGTGACCTTTGGCACCAGCCTTACAACCACCAGCAGCAGCAGCACCACCGCCGTCTCCTGATCCCCTCCCATCCCGACCGCTTTAACTCGCCCGTCAATTCCGCCGTCGCGGCCACCGGCATCTCGAAATCATCGTTACTCTCGTCGCCGTCGTCATCGTCGTCGTCATCTTCGTCGTCATCGTCATCTTCGTCCCATTTGCCGGCGCACCCTCACTTTGGCTTCGGCGCGTTCATGTGTGGACGCTCGCGAGCCATCAAGTCGCTTCACCTGGGCTGCGCTGGTGGCGGTCGTGGTGGTGTTGGTAACGGTGCTGCTGCTGGCGGCGGCGGTGGTGGTGGTGGTGCTAATTGCGGTGGCGGTGTTCACGGTGGCGGTGGTGGCGGTGGTGGCACTAAGGGTGCTGCTGTCGGTGGCTGCGTTGTTCGTAGTGGTGCTAATTGTAGCGGCGGTGGTGGTGGTGGTGGCGGCGGCGGCGGCGGCGCCAGTCCACACTTTGTGAGATTTCCCATCAGACCCAAATGTAACCCACACCTGAACTCGGTCACCAAACCGTACACCAGCACTGAGCCAAGCTCCGACCGTAGCCATTGCCCAGCTGCCAGCCCAAAGCTTGACCCACACACAAACCCCAACACTGACCCGAGACCTAACCTAGATCCTAACCCTAACCCAGGAGGACCTCGCCCAGATGTGACTGTGGGCGTGAGGCCTGATGCTAAATCCAGCCTTCGGTCTGATTCCATCGTAAACCATCACCCCTACTCGAACCTCAACCATAACCTAAATGCTAACCCCAAATTTTATCACGTTCTTCATCCTCAATCGGATTCAACTCCCAACCCTCACCCGAAGTTCAACGCGAATTCCAGAACAAGCCCGAATTATGTTAATCTCGCAAACCCGAACCCCGACGACCCACACCCTGGGCTGGGATCCGACTCGCACGTCAACCGTTCTCTGAACCCTCACGCGAGCCCGGGCTCTGATGTCAACCGGGACCCAAGTGTTAGCCGCGGTCTAAAGTTTGGTGAAGATCCGAGACCCGATTCTAACCCTGACCCTGTCTCAAACTGCACGAGCCCAGCCTCTCTCCTCACCGCGGTCCCCAACTTGTACTCCAGTTTCACGAGCCCAGATCCTTACGCCAAACCCATACTTCACCCAACCTGCGAAAGTCTGACCTCTGGATTGACCCCCGACCCCGAGACCACCCTTGACCCTACCCGCTTGCTGGAGGCCTTCGCTCCCCCAAACCTTCACCTTGACTGCGATCGCGACCTACGGCACCACCACGACCCGTTGACCTGTCCCGCTAGCCCCGACGTTCACCACCGCCGCCACCGCTCCTCGTACGAGCCATGCCCGGTAGATGGCCCGGTCGCTCTGAGCGTCGGCGCCAGTTTTGCTCGCTTCCTCTCGCCCCGCCCCGCCCTTACCCCGACCGCGAACCCCGACCCTAACCGCGACCCCGACCCTAACGCTGGTGCCGCCCTTGCCATGCGTGCTCGCGCCATCGCCCCCACCGCCGGCGACCCCGTGTGTCGCCGCGGCGATGACGGTGGTCGCCACGGCGACGCCCTCCCCCTGCGCCGCCTTCTCCTCATCGACCGCCGTCGCGGCGACTGCGGCTGCCGGTGGCATCACGGCGCCGCTACCCGCGCCGTTTCGGTTTCGTTTGCTCCCGCCGGCGTCGCTGGGTCTGCCGGTGCCACCACCGCCGGTGCCGCCACCGCCGGTGCCACCACCGCCGGCGCCGCCGCTGCCGCCGAACCGCCCCCTCTCGCCGATCTCCCCGGCGCCACGTTCCTCGGCTTCCGTTCCTCCTCCTCTGCCGCCTCCGCCACCGCCACCCCTACCGCCGGGACCGGCGCCGCCTTCCTGCTCCTGCACCGGCCTCCGCGCCGCTCTCACCGCCCTCTGCCTCTGCCGCCGCTGCTGCTGGCGTCGTCGCCGTCGCCGCCGACGCCGTCGCAGGCGACGCCGCACCCCTCGCCGCGCGCCTCCCCCGTGCCGGCGCCCCGTGCCGCCCAGGGTCGGGCGCCGGCATTGCCGGGCCCGCCGGGCTCGCCGGGGCACGGCGCCGCTCCGCCGTCGCCCTCCTCCACGGGGACGCCGCCGTCCAGCCCCGGGGGTTCGGGTTCGGTCGCCGGCGCCGGCGCCGGCGGAGCGGGAGGAGCGGCGGGAGTTGGGCCTCCTTGGAAGAACCGGCTGAGCTCCATCAAGAACAGCTTCCTGGGCTCTCCGCGGTTTCACCGGCGCAAGCTGCAAGGTGCCGGACGCGGCCGCTGTGGTCGTCGTCGCCATCGCAGTTCCTCGTTTGCGTTGCGAGCACCATCGTTAGCATGCACTTGCCGTATTCACCGCATTATAAGACGCATCCCCCAACTTTGACTTTAATCAGCAGTGGGACAATGCGCGTCTTAACGCGGAGAATGCGGTAAATACGGAACCTAGCATGTCAGTCGGTCAGCCTGTCAGTCACATGACCTATTTGCGTAATTGTCATACACGGTCGGAAAGAACCGGCGCAACTGTGGTGTGGATATCGAGCTCTTTTGTTTGACGTGTGACGGTTTGACCTGGGCCCCAAAAAAAAACGTGACCAAAAATGTATTTAGTTTCACCGGGCTGATCGCTACCGATGCTCCCAGTGGGGGTCTAATACGTGGAGTCTGGCAGGCCTCTCGGGTAGCCATGAGGGGCGACTCGGATCGAGGCCGCGGGCCGCGCACGACGTGAAGTAGTGGTGCCGTGCTCGGCTCGCGAGGCCTTAGGCTGCCCCCACCCGTAACCGACTTCGTCTGCGCGCACACCCAGACGCGAGCATCGCCCTGGCTGGGGCCGCTGTGTGATCGAGACCCCCCGTTTGTGCCCCCCCCCCCCCCCCCCCGCTTGTGCCCCCCCCCCCCCTGCCACCCCCCCCCCCTTCTCTTTCCCTACCCTAGTTCCAACGGCGGATGAAATGACGAGCCTCACTCCCGAGTCATCCCCAGAGTGAGACGACTGGAAACGCAGAGACCGCATCAACACAGAGAGCCACGCACACACACACGGCAACACAGAGAGCCACACACACACACACACGGTGACACAGAGAGCCACACACACACACGGTGACACAGAGAGCCACACACACACACGGCGACACAGAGAGCCACACACACAGCAACACAGAGAGCCACACACACACACAGCAACACAGAGAGCCACACACACACACGGTGACACAGAGAGACACACACACGGTGACACAGAGAGACACACACACACACGGCGACACAGAGAGACACGCACACACACACGGTGACACAGAGAGCCACACACACGGCGACACAGAGAGACACGCACACACACACGGTGACACAGAGAGACACACACACGGTGACACAGAGAGCCACACACACACACGGCGACACAGAGAGACACGCACACACACACGGTGACACAGAGAGCCACACACACGGCGACACAGAGAGACACGCACACACACACGGTGACACAGAGAGCCACACACACGGCGACACAGAGAGACACGCACACACACACAGTGACACAGAGAGCCACACACACACACGGCAACTCGGAGAGCCACGCACACACACACGGCAACACAGAGAGCCACACATACACACACGGTGACACAGAGAGCCACGCACACACACACGGCAACACAGAGAGCCACACACACACACGGTGACACAGAGAGCCACACACACACACGGCAACACAGAGAGCCACGCACACACACGGCAACACAGAGAGCCACATACACACACACGGTGACACAGAGAGCCACACACACACACGGTGACACAGAGAGACACACACACACACACGGCGACACAGAGAGACACGCACACACACACGGTGACACAGAGAGCCACACACACACGGCAACACAGAGAGCCACACACACACACACGGTGACACAGAGAGCCACACACACACACACGGTGACACAGAGAGACACACACACACGGCGACACAGAGAGACACGCACACACACACGGTGACACAGAGAGCCACACACACGGCGACACAGAGAGACACGCACACACACACGGTGACACAGAGAGCCACACACACGGCGACACAGAGAGCCACACACACGGCGACACAGAGAGACACGCACACACACACGGTGACACAGAGAGACACGCACACACACGGCGACACAGAGAGCCACGCACACACACACGGCAACTCGGAGAGCCACACACACACACGGTGACACAGATAGCCACGCACACACACACGGCAACACAGAGAGCCACGCACACACACACGGTGACACAGAGAGAGACACACACACACACACGGTGACACAGAGAGCCACACACACGGCGACACAGAGAGACACGCACACACACACGGCAACTCGGAGAGCCACGCACACACACACGGTGACAGAGAGCCACGCATATACACACAGCGACACAGAGAGACACACACACACACGGCAACTCGGAGAGTCACGCACACACATGGTGACACAGAGAGACACACACAGCAACACAGCGAGCCACGGACACGGTGACACAGAGATCCACGGACACAAATAGAACAAATAGATGCGTTGTACAATATGTACACACATCACAGATCCACGTGCTGCTAACCACACTCGCGCCAACAGTCTGCTGAAGGCTATTCGGGAGATATGTGTCTGTGTGTGTGTGCGAAACGTGGACCCCCCTAATGGAACATCTTCACCAGTTAGAAACATTTAGGCTGGCCTGCCTACGATCCATCCTGGGTTTAACCAGACTGGATTGTGTGAGGAGCTCACAAATCCTTGAAAGATCTGGGAAAGGTCCCATCGGTGAGCTCCTCCGGCGGGCAAGGCTGCGATGGCTGGGTCATGTAGCCCGCATGCCCAGCCACCGCATGCCGAAACAGCTTTTGTTCGGCCGGATTGAGGAGGCTAAGCGGGCGCGGCACGGGCTAGAGAAGAGATGGAGTGACGTGGTACAGGAGGACGTGGAGCTGAGTGGACTTGCCGATGACTGGTACCAGCGGTGTCAAGATCGGCCTCTGTGGAGGAGGCTCGTGAAGGACGCTACTGGGCAGTTGGAGGCAGTCGCCCTCCAACAACAACGGAGGGCGGAGGAGCGACGCTCACAACAACGAGCGGATCGCCGGGTGGCTAAAGCACAGCAGGTTGGCACAGTAGGGGGCACAGGTGGTGCATCAGCCAGTCATCTCAGTCAGTCGACCCGTGGCACCTGGGTCTGCCCCGTGACCTCCTGCCAGCGGGCGTTCGACACTTCACGTGGCCTCAGGGTGCATATAGCCTGGCACAAGCGTCGTGATGATGTCACCGCCACTTAGTGGTGAATGGCGGTTGTTGTGCGTGTGTGTGCGTGTGTGTGTGCGTGTGCGTGCGTGCGTTCGTCCACTCCAGACTGGCCAAGAAGTCGTGGTTTGGCAATTTCATCAGCCTCGACAAGGGCGAGCAGATCTTCCTCATGGTGGAGAACAAGCCCATCAGCACCATCAAGGCGGACGTGGTGCACGCCTTCCTCTCGGTAGCTACCCGCCCTCGGCCCCCCACCCTCCGGCACCACGGTCGCGCCGCGGCGTGCTCGCGACCCGAGTTCGAATCCCGCTCGCGACCATGAACACCAGTGACGATAATGATCTGAAGCGGCGCTGCGTGGCTGCATCTATTGTCGATTCGACCTCAAAAGAGTGCCCTGGTGCGGCATCTAAAAACATCGCCACCCAAACCCCCCGCGTGTGCCGTAGGTGCTGCTCGCTCACGGCACTTGCCCGAAAAGTTTGCTTAAGGCTATACGGGGGGTGGGTGGATCTTTGCCTTTGCTTTTGTTTTTTTGTTTCTAGGGAGAGGTCGCGTGGCGCTTAGGCCACCACGCGAGGAAACCCGGTAACCCAATGTCGATGCCCGCTGACGCCTGATAACAGTGATCCATCTGAATATCTGCGTTTTATTCCTGGGCTACCCCTTAGGGAGTTTATAACAGTTTAATAGGGAGTTTATAATAGTTTAATAGGGAGTTTATAACAGTTTAATAGGGAGTTTATAATAGTTTAATAGGGAGTTTATAATAGTTTAATAGGGAGTTTATAACAGTTTAATAGGGAGTTTATAACAGTTTAATAGGGAGTTTATAATAGTTTAATAGGGAGTTTATAATAGTTTAATAGGGAGTTTATAACAGTTTAATAGGGAGTTTATAATAGTTTAATAGGGAGTTTATAACAGTTTAATAGGGAGTTTATAACAGTTTAATAGGGAGTTTATAATAGTTTAATAGGGAGTTTATAATAGTTTAATAGGGAGTTTATAACAGTTTAATAGGGAGTTTATAATAGTTTAATAGGGAGTTTATAACAGTTTAATAGGGAGTTTATAATAGTTTAATAGGGAGTTTATAACAGTTTAATAGGGAGTTTATAACAGTTTAATAGGGAGTTTATAACAGTTTAATAGGGAGTTTATAATAGTTTAATAGGGAGTTTATAATAGTTTAATAGGGAGTTTATAACAGTTTAATAGGGATTTTGATTTAAAGCTTTCGTGACTGCAGTAATTCATATTCTTAGTTTTTTTCGGTAAAGTCACGTTGAAGAGAAACAACAAAATAACAAAATATATATAAAACAATAAAAAATTCTCACGACGTTTCGACCATAACTCAAACGGTCATCATCAGGTGTGTCGGTTTGCATACATTTATTTTGAAAACGGCATATTTATTTATTTATTTATATAAAAAAATAACGTTTGCGTCACGCGCAACGATTGGCGGTTTGCCAGGACTAGTCCATCTATTTTTTGAAAAGAGGAGGGGGGAGACGAAATTTGTTTTTATGTATGCTGTCTGAAAGCCACTGTAAGCGTGGCTTTCAGTGAACTGAAATGATTTATCAAATCTTTCCAATGATTGCTAAGATAGAATCCATCTTCTCGGTTGAAATTGTCTCTGTGTTTGTATATGTGGATAGCCTCATGAACGAATCTCTCATGGAAGCCAGATGGCTTACAAAGAACCTCCGTCTTGGAAAAGTCAATGGCATGTGAGCCTACTGAATTAGAACAATGATCTGCTACGGCCGAGGTGTTGGTCCTACCGTGTTTAAGGTCTGCTTTATGTTCACGAATGCGGTCCGAGATATGGCGTTTGGTTTCTCCAATGTAACTACTACCACAGAGGCAACTTAGTTTGTAGACACCAGGGTATTGTATGTCCGGAATCACATCTTTTACAGACGGAACCAGATCACGGATTTTATGTAATGTGTTGAAACGGACCTGGATCTTGTGTTTATTCAAAATTTTGGAGATCTTTTTTGTGATCCCAGCAATGTAGGGTAAAGTGATGGTTTTGAAAGGCTCCTCAAGAGGGTTCTTCTTCATGGTTTGAGTGATAGCTTTGCGGATTGTATAGTCGGAGTAACCATTAGCCCTAAGAGCTTGGTGTACGTGCTTGAGTTCACTGCTTATGTGTTCCTGGTCGGATATGCATTGGGCTCTATGATACAGAGTCTTGATGAGAGAATTCTTCTGTGATGGATGGTGGTGGGAATCCGGTTTCAGATAAGCATCCGTATGGGTAACTTTCCTGTAGACAGAGTGGCTCATTGAACCATCAGGTCTCTTTTTAATTAGGACATCCAAAAAAGGTATCTTGCCATCTATTTCGACTTCCATGGTAAATCTGATGGCTGGGTGTATGGAATTGATGTGGTCGAAGAATTGGTCTAGAGCAGGCCGGCCATGTGGCCAGATGACAAAAGTGTCATCCACGTACCTCTTCCATAAGGTTGGGCGCAGAGTGGCAGTCTGGATGGCGTCAGTCTCAAATTTCTCCATGAAAATGTTAGCTATAACTGGAGAAAGGGGGGAGCCCATTGGGGTGCCCTCAGTTTGTTTGTAGAAAGTTACATTCCAAGTGAAGTATGTATTGGTTAAACAGTGTCTCACCAGGGGGGGTACCTCAGTGTTTAGTCCTTGATGAACCAAGTCTTCAATGATTGCAATGGTGTCAGGTACAGGAACCTTGGTGAATAAGGAAACTACATCAAAACTGACAAGCAGGTCGTCTGGGGACAGGAAAATACCCTTGATTGTTGATACCAGGTGAGTAGAATTTTGTACCGCAGAGGTGGTCTTTCCAGTGAAAGGACGCAGGATTTCAGACAAAAAACGAGCTAGTTTGTAGGTGGGGGAGCTGATAGTAGAGACTATGGGACGAAGAGGTGTATCAACTTTATGTATTTTTGGTAAGCCGTATAATCTTGGTGGCCTGGCAGCAGAAGGTTTCAACGAAAACACAAACCAACAAAATAATTTCTGATTCAACCGCATTAATTGATCAATCAAAACAGTTTTCGTTGAAACCTTCTGCTGCCAGGCCACCAAGATTATACGGCTTACCAAAAATACATAAAGTTGATACACCTCTTCGTCCCATAGTCTCTACTATCAGCTCCCCCACCTACAAACTAGCTCGTTTTTTGTCTGAAATCCTGCGTCCTTTCACTGGAAAGACCACCTCTGCGGTACAAAATTCTACTCACCTGGTATCAACAATCAAGGGTATTTCCCTGTCCCCAGACGACCTGCTTGTCAGTTTTGATGTAGTTTCCTTATTCACCAAGGTTCCTGTACCTGACACCATTGCAATCATTGAAGACTTGGTTCATCAAGGACTAAATACTGAGGTACCCCCCCTGGTGAGACACTGTTTAACCAATACATACTTCACTTGGAATGTAACTTTCTACAAACAAACTGAGGGCACCCCAATGGGCTCCCCCCTTTCTCCAGTTATAGCTAACATTTTCATGGAGAAATTTGAGACTGACGCCATCCAGACTGCCACTCTGCGCCCAACCTTATGGAAGAGGTACGTGGATGACACTTTTGTCATCTGGCCACATGGCCGGCCTGCTCTAGACCAATTCTTCGACCACATCAATTCCATACACCCAGCCATCAGATTTACCATGGAAGTCGAAATAGATGGCAAGATACCTTTTTTGGATGTCCTAATTAAAAAGAGACCTGATGGTTCAATGAGCCACTCTGTCTACAGGAAAGCTACCCATACGGATGCTTATCTGAAACCGGATTCCCACCACCATCCATCACAGAAGAATTCTCTCATCAAGACTCTGTATCATAGAGCCCAATGCATATCCGACCAGGAACACATAAGCAGTGAACTCAAGCACGTACACCAAGCTCTTAGGGCTAATGGTTACTCCGACTATACAATCCGCAAAGCTATCACTCAAACCATGAAGAAGAACCCTCTTGAGGAGCCTTTCAAAACCATCACTTTACCCTACATTGCTGGGATCACAAAAAAGATCTCCAAAATCTTGAATAAACACAAGATCCAGGTCCGTTTCAACACATTACATAAAATCCGTGATCTGGTTCCGTCTGTAAAAGATGTGATTCCGGACATACAATACCCTGGTGTCTACAAACTAAGTTGCCTCTGTGGTAGTAGTTACATTGGAGAAACCAAACGCCATATCTCGGACCGCATTCGTGAACATAAAGCAGACCTTAAACACGGTAGGACCAACACCTCGGCCGTAGCAGATCATTGTTCTAATTCAGTAGGCTCACATGCCATTGACTTTTCCAAGACGGAGGTTCTTTGTAAGCCATCTGGCTTCCATGAGAGATTCGTTCATGAGGCTATCCACATATACAAACACAGAGACAATTTCAACCGAGAAGATGGATTCTATCTTAGCAATCATTGGAAAGATTTGATAAATCATTTCAGTTCACTGAAAGCCACGCTTACAGTGGCTTTCAGACAGCATACATAAAAACAAATTTCGTCTCCCCCCTCCTCTTTTCAAAAAATAGATGGACTAGTCCTGGCAAACCGCCAATCGTTGCGCGTGACGCAAACGTTATTTTATATATATAAATAAATAAATATGCCGTTTTCTAAATAAATTTATGCAAACCGACACACCTGATGATGACCGTTTGAGTTATGGTCGAAACGTCGTGAGAATTTTTTATTGTTTTATATATATTTTGTTATTTTGTTGTTTCTCTTCAACGTGACTTTACCGAAAAAACTAAGAATAAGTTTAATAGGGAGTTTATAATAGTTTAATAGGGAGTTTATAATAGTTTAATAGGGAGTTTATAACAGTTTAATAGGGAGTTTATAATAGTTTAATAGGGAGTTTATAATAGTTTAATAGGAAGTTTATAACAGTTTAATAGGGAGTTTATAATAGTTTAATAGGGAGTTTATAATAGTTTAATAGGGAGTTTATAACAGTTCAATAGGGAGTTTATAACAGTTCAATAGGGAGTTTATAACAGTTTAATAGGGAGTTTATAATAGTTTAATAGGGAGTTTATAACAGTTTAATAGGGAGTTTATAACAGTTTAATAGGGAGTTTATAACAGTTTAATAGGGAGTTTATAACAGTTTAATAGGGAGTTTATAACAGTTTAATAGGGAGTTTATAACAGTTTAATAGGGAGTTTATAACAGTTTAATAGGGAGTTTATAACAGTTTAATAGGGAGTTTATAACAGTTTAATAGGGAGTTTATAACAGTTTAATAGGGAGTTTATAACAGTTTAATAGGGAGTTTATAACAGTTTAATAGGGAGTTTATAACAGTTTAATAGGGAGTTTATAACAGTTTAATAGGGAGTTTATAACAGTTTAATAGGGAGTTTATTACAGTTTAATAGGGAGTTTATAACAGTTTAATAGGGAGTTTATAATAGTTTAATAGGGAGTTTATAATATTCTTGGTTCTTTCGGTAAAGTCACGTAGAAGGGAAACAATAAAATAATAAAAATATAAAACAATTAAATTCTCACTACGTTTCGACTGCAACACAAGCAGTCATCATCAGGTGTGAAAAACCACAAGAAAATTTGAAAAAAGTGGCGGTTTTTTAACATTAGCACCACGAATAGCGATTTGGCAGTTATTTAGATGGACGAGTCCATCTATATTCGGAAAAGAGGAGTGGGGAGACGAAAAATAATGGATGCGGTCTGAAAGCCACCTTAAGCGTGATCAATCAATTAAGACCCGAAATGGTTTATCAAATCTTTCCAATGATTGCTAAGCCAGAATCCATATTCTCAGTTGAAATTGTCTCTGGGTTTGTATATGTGGATAGCCTCATGAACGAATCTCTCATGGTAGCCAGATGGCTTGCAAAGATCCTCTGTCTTGGAGAAGTCAATGTCATTTGAACCTACTGAATTATAACAGTGATCTGCCACGGCCGAGGTGTTGGTCCTACCGTGTTTAAGGTCTGCTTTGTGTTCACGAATGCCGTCCGAGACATGTCGTTTGGTTTCTCCAATGTAACTACTACCACAGAGGCAACTTAGTTTGTAGACGTCAGGGTACTGTATGTCCGGAATCACATCTTTTACAGACGGAACCAGATCACGGATTTTATGTAATGTGTTGAATCGGACCTGTATCTTGTGTTTATTCAAGATTTTGGAGATCTTTTTTGTGATCCCCGCAATGTAGGGTAAAGTGATGGTTTTGAACGGCTCCTCAAGAGGGTCCTTCTTCATGGTTGGAGTGATAGCTTTGCGGATTGTGTAGTCGGAATAACCATTAGCCTTAAGAGCTTGGTGTATGTGCTTGAGTTCACTGGCTATGTGTTCCTGGTCGGATATGCATTGGGCTCTATGGTGCAGAGTCTTGATGAGGGAATTCTTCTGGGATGGATGGTGGTGGGAATCCGGTTTCAGGTAAGCATCCGTATGGGTAGCTTTCCTGTAGACAGAGTGGCTCATTGAACCATCAGGTCTGTTTTTTATTAGGACATCCAAAAAGGTAGCTTGCCATTTTTTTTCGACTTCCATGGTAAATCTGATGGCTGGGTGTATGGAATTGATGTGGTCGAAGAATTGGTCTAGAGCAGACTTTACCGAAAGAACCAAGAATATGAATCTCTGCAGTCACGAAAGCTTTAAATCAGAGTTTATAATAATTTAATAGGGAGTTTATAATAGTTTAATAAGGAGTTCATAATGGTTTAAGAAGGAGTTTATCATGGTTTAATAGGGAGTTTATAGTAGTTTAATAGTTTCAAATAGTGAAAAAGTTTAATAGTTTAAAATAGTATAATAGATGATCGTTTAAAAGTGTTAAATTGCTTAATAGTATAAAATAGTTTCATAGTTTAAAATAGTTCAATAGATGATAATTTTAAATATTTAAAAAAAGGTTAAAACAGTTTAATAGATAGTTTAAAAATATATAGTTTAATAATAGATAGTTTAATGGAGTACCCCTCGTGCGCTGCATAGGCCCCAGTAGGCGCCGCTCAGCTCACGGCCCATGACCCCGACGGCCGGTTGAAGGCTCCGTGGGGCACCGTTTTGGGCCTCGTGCGTTTGCGCCTCCCCCTAGATCCCGAGCCTGAGTCACAGCGTCGTGTCCCCCACGAGCTTCCGCGCCGAGTACAAGGCCCCAAGCGGCCCGTCCGTCTTCCAGAAGCCGGTGCGCTTCCAGGTGGACATCGGCTCCAGCGAGGGGCCCGACTCGGCAGGGGACGGCGCCGTCTTCTCGCTCACCTTCACTCTGCTCTCAGGTGACATCGCGCGCGGACGCAGAGACGTGCGCGCATGGTGTGCACGCGGAGACGCTCCAACATGCGCACCAGCGTGGCGTACAAGCGGGCGCTCGCGCGCAGGGGGGCGGCAGGGTGGCGGCGCAATGGTGGAGAACTCGTGGGCCTCGCAGTGAGGAAGGGGTCTGCGTTCGATTCTCTAACTCGGGCGCCTCCCTTTTGTCCAGTTTGTACATTCTCAACCCCCCCCCCCCCCCCCCCCCCCCGAGCTACCAACCCGGCGACCCGAGTTCGATTCCAGACTCACGGCTACCAACACGGGCGATGAATACGCACGCGCGCACGGCCGAGGAGGGATCGGTCTCCTCAATGGCGTTGTCGCTGCCCCTTGACCCCCGCAGGGCCGAGTCGGAGGTTCAAGCGCGTCGTGGAGACGATACAGGCGCAGGTGATGAGCTCCAGCGAACAGTCGCCCGGGCAACAGCTCTCCGGTGAGGGGGTGGGGACCATCGCCACGGCAACAACCCGCTAAGGATTTTTTAATATTCTCCATTTGTGGAAATTCCACATTGTGGTGGCGAGGGAGGAGTATTGCCCGAAACCCAAACCACCGTTGAACTTCCCCGGTTTGCGAGCCGCTCACAACTTCCGAACCGCAAAGCCGGCCGACGCTCGGGGCCTCAAAGCACACGGGGGACGGTAGTGTTACACTGTCGATGGGTTGCAACCGGGATGTAGCAGTGCAGCGGGTGGGTTTGTGAACCCATCTGTGGGGCGCCTGCGGTGGCGAGATGTTAACTACCTCGTCTGGTATGCAGAATGTCGTGGGTTCGATGCCGACCCTGACGCCTGCTGTATATTTGGAGTTTGCGTGTCTCTCTCTCTCTATCTCCCTTCCCGTGGAAGCGTGGATTTTCCCCCGGGTTCTCCGGGTTCTCCCTCCACATTTAAAATCCACATCACGCGTTTAGAGCATCTGGCTGCTAGAAAATTCCACGTGATGAGCCACTCCGTCGAGCTGTCGTTTGTGGCCAGTTCTCGCTTCCGAAAAAAAGCTACATAGCTCAGTGGGCCTTACCTGATAAAATAAAATTGTTTGATTAATTATAATTATTGTAAGTCTGCGTCAAGTTGTTGTTTAGAATAAAGTGTTCATGCGTTCTCCTCCGGCGTGTCTCTCTGTCCCCATTTGTTTTGTTCTGGTCATTTCCTCGTCACCTCTCCCACGTCCCTCACCTTCCAATCTCATCTCGCTTGCAAATCTCCCACCTCATCACCTTCCTAATATTCCCAGTATCCCATTCTCAACTCGGACCATTTTTCTTTCCATATTTTTGTGAATCTGCCTCGCCTCTCTGCACCCCATTTTTTTCGCCTGTTATTTTTAAATCGCCCACCTCATCTTCATCCCCTTTTCTCATTACCCTCTCCATTTCCATGTCTCAATCTCGGCATCGCCTCATCTCTTGTTTTTTCATCTTAAACATTCCTCCTCGTATCCCCGCTCGCATCCCCATCCCCCCGAACAACTCCATCTCCACCTCCCACCTTAACTTCTCGTCTTCTCATTTTCATCCCAATCTCTGCTTTCTCCTGTCGCCACCCTCCCTGTCTCAACAACCCCGTGTCGGCGTCTCACCCCTCAAACCCCTGCCGCTCTGTCCCCTTCTCTCGTTCCCCACGCTCTCCTTGTCTCTCCACGTGTCTTGGTGACCCGCGCCCTCTCCCAACCACGTGTCCACTGTCTCCCTGTTCTACTCTCCTTCTGTCCCCTTTGCTCCAATGTCCCTCTGCCCCCCCCCCCCCCCAATCCTGCACCAACATCCCCTCACCCTCCACCTCCTCCCCCCTTCCTCTGTCTGCCCGCACAACTCCGCCACGTCCTCTCATCCTCCCCACCCCCTCCGACTCACCATTGCCCCATGTCCCCACGTCCCTGCGCTCTCCCGATCCATGCCCCGTCACCCTCCTCGTGCGGGCTGTCCCTACGGCCTTTGCCCCCACGCCCCGTCCCCCGCGTCCCCGCGTGCGATCCGTCCCAGGCAGCCCACTGAGTAACTTCTTCGACGTCATCCAGCAGCTGTTTACGGACGAGGGCGGCGTCGGCGAGCAGCCACCCGGGCCCCAGAACGGCGCCGGCGCCACGGGGCCCGGCAGCGGGGGCAGCAGCAGCAGCGGCGGCAGCGCCACCTCCCGCCGCCACGGCCGCACCAGCTGCTGAATTGGCTGCCCGCCACCACCCGTCCCTCTCCACCCACCGGCCACCGTAAACCCGCCGTGTAGCGCCTTCTGTTGGGCCCCCCCCGCGCCCGCCGCCTGCCGTGAGGCCCCGACTAGGCGACCGTCACCAGCTGCTAGGCCCGATGAATGCTTCGAAATGGGCCGCTGCTTTCCGGCACCTGTCGGAGCGAAACCGCGGTGTGTCCGCGAATTCCGTGTTATGTTTTTTTTGTACGCGGGTTTTTTTTTTCTTCCCTTTTCTCCAGTAATAATGTGCGGCTTTGAAGGCAGGGCTGCGTAATTGTTGAGGCCTACCGGCACTACGTAATGCCCGTTTGGTCTGAGACTTAGCGATGGCGCTCACTGTATTTTCAATTTGAAATCGGTTTTCAGTAAGAATTACGAATGAAGATTCATTTATCTCCCGTTCTCATTCACTGAATTGTCGATGCATTGCGAAAAATAAGAAGGGGGCAAATATTTGCCATGGTCTTGAGTGAGATTCCGTTTTTTTAGCACGTAAAATCGTTGTAAATCTCATCCATTTCCAAAATCTTTTTTTCCTCTCTCATGGCAAATATTCCTGCAAAAAATTGCTAATTTGAAGCCCATTTTTGGAAAGGAGGCGATAGGGAAAGCAAGGAGTGGGTGGCGAAGAACTCTGTCCAACAATGGAGAAAGCGAGGGATTCACTTGACCCTGACCGGATCACATGACCGCCTCGTTGCTTGTGGTGGAGGCCGACCGTGGTTCGATTACTGGGTCCGTGTCCCGAGTGCGTGCCCCTGGGCTCTCCTCATGGCTCTCACAAAGACGGACGGATACGGGGGAAATGCGCAAACAGATTTTTCGCAGGGAGATTTTGCAGCAACAACAACAACCTTCATGGCCTCGTGGAGCCACGTGAACCGATAAAACAAGAATCCATCTGTTAGAACTGCTACGTCAAGCACCACTGGCCAAACCTTTCACACATTGGGGCCCTCGAAAGCTCTGCAGAGGTCAACTCCACGAAGGTTAAAAACAAAAATTCGCGCATGGTCTTCGTTCGCCTCGGATGCAGCAGGCCTCGGCTGAATCGCCCACTCGCAGTTTTCAGTTCACGTGATCATTCTTTACCTTGCACCGAGGTGAAGAGCCTGGGAGGGGGAGGACGTTTTTGCGAAGGGAGATCGATTGCGTTCCTTCAGCAGCCATGTCGAGCGATTAATCGCGGGCCCGCCAAGGCAATATCCGTAGCGCTTTGCGGAAATGCACTTGGATGGAGACGGGGGCGGGGGGGTGGGGGGGGGACAGAGTTTGTGTTCGGTGGAGCCCGGCGTTGCGAGGAAATCGGACGCTTTTATCAATCTGTGCCTGATCAGGGGCGGTACTTGAATCGTCGATGACTGAGAGAGGAAGAAGACGAAGGGCGACAACGAGAGGACGACTCGGCCGGTGCCGCTGAAAGCGGCGTCTGTTCGGGAAGGGGTCGGGGTGGCGGGGGGAGACATCGCGATGTCCCGTCTTTTGGACGAGACGCTAAACTCGAGGCCCGTCGATGCTAAAGAATGACATTTGCTGCTCGCCGAAGGCTGGCGGTTGGGACAAGGACCGATTCGCGTCCTTCCCTCCGATTGTTCCCGGCCGGAAATTCCATCGCGGGAATCCGTCGCAAACATTTCGTCTGCCGATCGACGGGGCGTGTCCTGGAAGTTGCGTTTTGTGATTATTATTTTTTTTGGAGAGGAACATAGGGGATGCGTTGCTGCAATGGTGGGCGGCTCGTAGCAGGCAGAGCGGACGACACCACTTATGTCAAACAAAGTCGGCCTTCGCGCCGGTCACGTTCTTAAAAGCCCACACTGTAAGCCACGTCTTAAGAACTCGCTGACGCGGCCGTTTCTCGATCTCAAATCCTGACGGCCGAAATCTCGTTCTGTCTTTACGCGCACACACACACCCCACCGTCCAGTGTGTGTGTGTGCGTGCACGATCCGCTTTGGGTGCTTGGCCAGTTCGGGCAAGATTGGTGGCAGACCACGGAATGACGGGGATTGGATTTAGAGCTGGGGTTTGAGGGCAGTGTCGTGTTTGACTTCTTATTTGGTCTAACCACGGCTCTGTGTTATTGTACTTAAAGCAGCCAGTGGGCCTAAATAGTGGCCTAGTCCGATTCTTCAGAAAGTAGTTGCTTGGGTGGTACAACTTTTGCTGTTTTTTTTTCTATATTCAGAGCCACGATGTGTTGTTTTTATTGTTTACCAGTTAACGTTTGCTAACTTACAGCAATACTCAAACAAGTATTCCAAAGGGCATCTCTGTAAAAGTTTAAGCCGACACAATTGAGGCTTACGCATGGCCCTCATGCCACTGCGCGCTAAATATTTGTTCCAATTTATTTTAAACACTGCGAACAAAATAAATTCTACTCGGTGATCACGGGAGCGACAATTTACATAGATTACCTCAAAATCCGTGTTTTATGCTGATATTTCCCTCACAATTTGACCAAGTTAAGTGGGACTCCTCTGCAGGCTCGTTCAAGGCTGTTTCCTCTGCATTGTACCTAATTTGAAGTGTAGAAAGGAAAGAGATAAACGCCAACTAAATAAAACAAGGAGTCAAAAAGACGATTGAAACAACAAAAGTACTTTCATCAAGCTGAAGTGCAGTGACGGTGGCAAGACGTTGAAAGCGAGGTCACGTGATATTTATTTCTTCAATGAAGGAAATTCCGCTCTCAATGCTTTCTGGATGTTCACGCTTTTTCTATTTACCCGTCCCACGACCCCCCCCCCCCCCCCCCCCCCCGAAAGATTCGCTCCCCAGATTTGTACTCTCGTGCGCGCGAAGACGAGATTGCATTTTGCTTTTCGCGACCAGACTGCGGCTCTGCCTCTCCCCTACATGGGGCCTCGTGAGTGGGTGTGAGGTGGCGGGAAGAAGCCATTCTGTTTGTGGGGGGGGGGGGGGGGCCTCCCTCTGCCCCCCGTGGCTCACGAGGCCTGGATGAAAGAACTCGGTACGCGGGCAGCGAGAGATGCTCCTCAACCCAGCCCCCCCCCCCCCCCCGCCGCCCCCTGAACTTCTACCAACACTGTGAACTCTGCAGGGCGATGTTTAAGGGCAGTATTCGGAAGAACCCGCTGACTTCACTTCCAGAGCTTCCTGAGCAAGAAAATGCGTCGTGTGGAGAATCCCACGAGAGGCGAGACGAGGGTGGGTGGGTGGGTTTGGGCTGCGGGAGACACTCAACGACGGATTAGGGCTGGACTTTATCACCGTTGCCGTGTTTTCTCTGGGGGGGGGGGGGTTCTTTTTTATTTTACGTGATCTGCTTTGGTCGTTTCGTTGCTTTCGTTTCGTCGTCGCGAACGTGTGCGGGTTACCACTGCCGGTGTTATTCGTCGTCAGTTTAATTTCGCGTCGTCGAGAGAGCTGAAGGTTGCTGGTGATCGAACAGACGACGTGAAACGGGGACAAGGATGGGGAGGAGTGGGGACGGTGGGGGGGGGGCGAGGGAATGGAAAGGAAAGCAAAAAAGAGCCCAACGGGAAAAAAATGTAAAAGAACGCTGCCATGGAAAAACAAAAACGTCTATTTTGTTATCGTTGAGATGAGACAACGGTTAAGAGAGTTGCGTTGCCTTCATTTGAGCATCGGTCATTTGCCCGCTTGGACGAGAAGTCAATGGAGGTCTCGGTGTAAAATACCTGACAACAGCACATCGGTGCAAAACAATTCTAAAAGTGCTCCATTCAAAACAAACGAATGCCATTTGCAGCTGACGCCCAGAGACCAGTCGGCTGGGTGCGCGCATATCTGAATGGGGGGGGGGACCGTGGCGTCAGCGTGACGGCGGTTGACCAGACCTGAGATTTTTTCCTTGAGATCGGTGTTTTTCTTACCCCGAGCTGCGCACAACTCCCGTTGGAGTGCGCGCGAGATGCCCTTTCTGGGAACCAAAGGGGGGTGGGTGCAGGCTGCAATAAAAGGTTTAGAACCACGGGTTTAGATGTTAGTCGTCAGCAGCGGGGGGAACACGACAGGATTTTTTTTTTTACTGGTCTTCAGAGGTTTACATCGCCTAGGCTGGAAAGAAATAAAAACTCCATTCTAATTGGTGGGTTGGCCGAAATAGCGGAATCGTTATTTGTCCCTTTTAAAACATTTGTTTTAAATGACAGTACACACACACACACGCGCACGAGAGGTGCTGGAGAGACTCGATAACCCACGTGTATGACAGAGTACACACACACACGAGAGGTGTGATGGAAAGACTCGATAACCCACGTGTTTGTATTTTAACAAAAACCCACGGCAGCTTAATTCACCGTCACACTGTCGAGTCCAATTCTCATCGTTGCCGTTGAATCATCCCCCCCTACCCCCCCCCCCTCCCCCCGGATGGGCTCCGTACAATGAACTCTCCAATCCTGCAATTCACTTTTTTTTTTATTCACTTATTCAAGAGCTGTCTACCCCCAACGAGAGCCAACTTCGTGGGCACAATTTATTTGGCGATTGCCGCATTGGCAGCGGTGCACAAATAACAGAGCAAGCTCGGCACATTTGTCAATAGTGCTCTGTCAGAGGCCTGTGAACGGCGCCTTTTCAGCCGTGAAGCTCATTTCCAATGGCAGTGCTCCATATACAAGTGTGCTCTGCTGATGGACCGTCGCCTGCAACGTCGCCACAGTCTTATTGACGAACGTGTTGGGGGTGGGTGGGTGGGGGGGGGTTAGTAGTGTTGTTACTCTCGGGACATTGAGGCGTCGTGGGTTTTTCCAGGACGCGCAGTGCCTGATGGGTTTGTTACTTCACGCGATCTAAACACGTTCCCTTCCGTCAGTCCAGTTGATCGAAATCATCTCCAGGTCTGGCAGCGAGGCCGTGATGGCAGTGGCGAGGAATGCAAAATTGGGCAAACGGTCGACAGAACAGTCGGGAAAAGGAGAGGAGTGTGTTGATTTGTCATCTTGAGATGTTACCGCTGTTCCCCAACGTCTCCTATTGTGGCTGCTCGTGGTTGTTTGACGATCCTTCACCACGATGATCGGTGCCAGGACAGGTTCATCTAACGCTCGCTACCGATGTTAGCCGTGGCCGGGAATAGAAACCCAATCCGCCGGGCTCCACGGTGCAGTGTGCTCACGACGGCGCCACAGCGCTCTCCGCGGGCGATGAAATGCGTTGCCAAATGACGCCTGAAAAGTGTCAAGGTCACGGGTGGACCTCCGCCTAATCAGGCGTGGAAGCGGAGCTCATCTGCGCTGGTGGCCCCTGGGCAAGTGGTGTGGAAATTCCACATTCCCCGTGGGCAAGGGGCCCACCGTTGATTTACAGCAACAAAGTAGCACTCGGTGTTTTGTGTTTGTTTGTTTGTTTAAATCAAACCTGTAAGGGTGATGATGATGATGATCGTGGTGACGGCGGCGGTGGGATGAACTGACTGGACCGAAATTTGTTTCGTAAATGTTCATTTTTTAGCGTTCACGTTTCGGAGCTTGCTTTGACCGCACGCCGCCGCCGCGTTCCTGCCAACCCCCCCCCCCCCCCACAAAAGTAAAACCAGAAAACAAGCGGGGAGTTTCTGTACAAAGTGGGCTTTCGCCAAGTTCCCCACAATGGTGTTATTGCATTTGAATGGCTGCTCCTTCCTTGGCTGAATGGCAGCAGCAGCAGCGTCGTCATCGCCGCTGAGAGCCACTGCACGTGCGTGTGGGTGGCGGCCCTGCCCACTTTAGCGACTGTAGGACTTTTTGTCTGTTTGAACAAAACGACGACTCAAGTAAAACAAACCGCGGGAGAAAAAAAAAAACATTGAAATGTAGGCGATGCTGTACAAATAATGTACAAAAAAAAATATTCCAGACTTGTAGCCTGAATTCTAGCAAATATTGTATTTATATGATGAATTATTGTACATGAAATATCTTTGCAAATGGGGGTTATAGTGTTGGGTGACCTTTGCCTGTAATAACTATTTTAAGCAATCTCTTCCCCCCCCCCCCCGTTTGTTTTTAAAAGGTGGACGGTAAGGCCCCCGTGTGTCCATGTCGGGTGTGGCGCTGTGGGGTGTGATGCTGTGGGGTGCGTGCAGGCGAACGGACGAGAACCAGAAGTGAAAAACAAGTAAAACAAAAAATGCGTCACCTTTTCAAGCCGACTTATGCCACCGTTTTGTTCCTGGTAAATGATACAATAATTGCCCTCCCCAAGGAATACGCGCCCGCGCGCACACAACACACACACACTCTGTTGCATCTTCCAGTCGCGTCCCTCCCGCACTGATTTCCTCCCATCATATTTTCTGTAACCGACAATTTGTTCTGCTCTCATTTTTCTCGACCCAAAAACTTTGCATCTCTCGTCATTTTCACCCTTTGCTGCAATTAATTGCCATTTGGTGGCCATAAGAACCATACCATCGGCGAATTCGGAGATGGTTAATACCCTGTCCACGTATATTTACGCCTTTATTTGTCTACAACAATCTTTGGCATGTATCGTCTTGTTAGTGTCACAGTTTAATGGCCTCGGAGAAATGCGTACCTCCTTGGCCGACTGCTCTTTCGATTTGTGTTTTCATGCAATCTCAGTGGCGTGCTTCCTCGTTCATATTAGTTAAATGATCATTTATCTATTTTGTAAATCAATGCCTTTGTTTATGATCGCTTGGATAACTGCATCAGTTTCCAATGAAACAAATCTATATCAAGCCTCGCCCCTAAGTCACGTGACTCGCGTGTGGCCACCCCCACTCTGAACCCCTCTCTACGCCGCCCCCTGTGTAAACAGACTCCGCTCCGTACGGCTCACTCCTTCTGCTCGCTTCTTCTCTGTCCCTTTTTCCCCCCCTCTCCTCTCTCATCCCCCGACAATCTAGGTCCGGTGTGGCTCTTTGGTGACCCTTTGGTCATCATTTCTCTATCCCTGTCCAATCATTGCCCCCTCTGATTTCCCATCCTTTCCCGTCTCTCTTCCATTTCCCGTTCCTCTTTTATATCGTTGACTCGACTCCCCCTGTGGTGGCACGCCACGGTTAAACGAGTTGTGTAATGTGTTAGGGTTGAGTCTATGAGTGTATAATGAGTGTGTGTGTGTATAATAAGAGCAATTATTGAAGGCAGACCAGGATCGAAACAACGGTGAAATAAAGAGGCGAGCAAGAGCATATGTGCTTTTGTAAGTTAAATTTGATTATCAAACGCAATCTACCAATGTGCCTGAAGAACGTTTTTAGTCGGTGCATATTACCTGCTATGACATGGATCGGAAGCATGGACTCTGGAATGAAATCTGAAAGGTATGCAAAGATGCATGGAGATGCATGCTGGCAATTACACCAAGAGACAGGTAGAAGAACATGAGGATTAGAAAAGAAAGGCAGAATAGATAACATTCTGATTGTAAAAGTATGGCCCACTAGCTCTGATCACCAATATGGCGTACCCTGATCACCTATATGGCTTACCCTGACCACCAATATGGCTTTCCCTGATTACCAATATGGCTTACCCTGACCACCCATATGGCTTACCCTGACCACCAATATGGCTTTCCCTGATTACCAATATGGCTTACCCTGACCACCCATATGACTTACCCTGATTACCAATATGGCTTACCCTGACCACCCATATGGTTTACCCTGACCACCAATATGGCTTACCCTGATTACTAATATGGCTTACCCTGATCACCAACATGGCTGACCACCAATATGGCTGCGTATTCGTGTCAACGCGTGCACACCCCTTACGCGTATCCATCTAGCATACAAGTTGCGGTTTTTG